GTCAAGTTTCTTCCAGGGGAGGGGTGGGCTTCAGGGTCTGTCTTTGCGCTCGGCCCAGGCTGCAAAGGCTAGAGTGGAGGTTGAAGCCATTCTCGAGAGTGCGCGCGTACATACACATACACACGCGCGAGCGCGCGCGCGCGCGCGCGCGCGCACACACACACACACACACACACACACACACACACACACACTTTGCACACTTACACACACGCGTGCATAGACAGACCCGTTCCAGAGGACTTCAGGTCTCAGTTCGCAGCGGGCCTCACTCACTTTTGGAGCTTCACAGCGGGCGGGGCGCGTGGGGCGGGGCGCGGGTGGTGGAGAAATTGATAACAGATTCGGCGGATTACAGGGAATCTCTTTGTTAGAGCTGAATCCAAACCAACCGAACCCTCGCTCGGCCCGACGCCCCCAGGGCAAATCCACCCAGAACCTCCGCCAACTGCGAGTATAGCCACCAGGTTTCCTCAACTCCTCAACTCCGGTCTCCTCCGCTCTGGAGTAGGGGTGCCCCAAGGAGATCGCCAGGAGAGCCCCGAGTGCGGCAGCTGCCTTGAACCCCCTGCACTTGCCTGGGAACACCTCAGTTTTCTTCCCTCTCCAATCTGTCGCAAACCCCACAACTTTGAGCGATTCAAGGAACTCACACCGAACTCACTAATGAACTCTTCGACTTTAAAGGGTCAAACATCCGTCCGGGTAGGTTTAGCAGAGATCGGAAGCAAAGAAGACGGTGTGAAAGGAGAACTTTCGTCAGACTGCCGCAGCAGGGCTAAAACAAAAGTTCTGGTTAGAGTTATCCACAGAACAAGCCAAAAGTTTTCCAACAGGGGCCGGGGAAAGCAGACTGAGAAGCGGGAGTATCCGCGCGTGCAGAGGAGGTTGTGGGCTTTTAAGAGGTGCTGCGCAGGGGTGGGTGAGGTAAAGGAAAGGAAAGACGTTCGCCGATCTCAAAACCAGGACAGCCGGATCTCGGTGATGTTGCCTTCAGGATACACGAGATCAAAGATGCAGACTGTAGCTCTGTTCTAAAGGTACCATGCGCGAGAGTGGGAAGTGGTGGGAAAAGAGGACTTCCTCGGTCTAGAGAGCTAAAGGACTAGCGCAAGAGTCCAGTTACCAAGTGCAGAGTCAGGCGGCCCCTTAAAGACAAACACTAAAGAGATTAGCGAAAGAGTTAGGGGGGGCGGGAGGCAGTGACCCTACCTCACTGTTTGGTCATTGCCTTCTGCTAGACTACATTTAGGGCCCACGTCTGGGAGTGGAAATGATGAGATGTGCCAACTAGGCGGAAGAGAGTGACCCAGGCTCCCGGTGGCGAAAAGGAAGATGGGAAACTCCCAGAAGATATCCGTTCTTGAAGAGGTAGAAAGTGAACTGTGTTCCCCAGTCTGCTCTTTTTCTGAAGCAAGGAGACGGATGGAGAAACTTGTGGGAAGGAAACCCGGTTGCAGACACAAACTTGGTTCCTCTGCTTCAAGAATGGGACCGAGAAGACCCTAAAGAATGACCAGTAGGGGAATCCACTTAAGGGGGAGTAGACAAAGGAAGCCTTGGTCCCTACTCCGGCCTGGGCCCAGCTGAGCTATAGTTATTTGCCCCACACCGTGAATGCCCCACACCGTGAATGCATAGACCATGGCACTATGTGTGCGTGTGTGTGCACACGTGCAGCAGGCAAGAACAGCCAGTGATATAAGCCTGTGGCTGTCTGGAGCTGCAGCCAGGGCAAGGAATCTGAATAGTGCAGCAGCGACCCAGACTGGCTAGGAGGTCTGAGAACGGTGACAATACTGGAGAACACTCTAGCTTGATTCGCCTCCTTTTCCTGAGCCTCAGCACCCCAGGGCTCTTCAGGGGCCAACAAACAATTACCTTTTCTAACTTAGCACAGACTCTTCAGTCCAAACCTGAGTTGAGTATCCGCGAGGGAAAGAGAGATTAAACATCAGTTTAGTACCCAACCTTTACAGGTGATTTTTTTTAATAGACGAAGTTTATAGATACAAAGTCACTATTGTTGTTTTTTTTTTTAATAGACTAAGAAACTGAGGCTGATAGAGTGAAAGCAACATGTATCCAAGACCACAGAAAGAATTGGTGAAACAGCCAAGGCCACACCCGAGGCCTCCTACGGGTGACACTCCCCTCCAATGACCAGAAAGGGTAGGAATCCTTCGTCCAATTGCCCGAGGGCCCTTTGCTGGGTTACACCTATGGCCCTTTCCTATTCTCAGCTCTAAGCAACACAAATTGTCCGCTGGCGGAGGTCTCAAAGGTGTCCTGGTGGGTGAGAGGGATCATCTGGTCTCCAGGGAAGCAAACTGAAGGAATGGAACTCTCGGAGGCGCCCTACTTGCAGATGGCCAACAGGGGGCAGCCGGCACCGCGCGGTC